TAGAGCATAAACTTTACAGTCCCTACACACTAATACTTACATATTCCAAGAGGATAGGACCAAGGAAAAAAAGAATTTAAAATTAATCCCCCACAAAATAAGATTTTCAAGTAATAAAATTGACCTTTCTCATGACTGCTTCATGCACAAAACACATATATTATTTTTCTCTGTCCTTCCAATGGATACAAATGAGGGGGAAAAAACAGGACTGAAATGGAATATATAGAGAACAGGGAGCAAAACCAGATGTACAGATGACGCAAGAGAAAAGGTACTGTACGAGTGTTCCAAAAAGGGTTAAAACAAGAGGCCAACAGGCCATTCCCAGCATAAGTAACTAACTGTTCAAGGCATCTTGATTATGGATGCTACAGTTATATGCACGTCCACTAATTGTACTTCTTTGCAATAGCTTTTCAAAAAGCCGTTCTTGCCTTTTCAGGTGTTATACACCACCTTCACCTATTATAGATTATTTGGGGGAAAGACCTACTTCAAATAAATGCTATTTGCACAGGCTAATTTGCTGTCTCTGGTCATCTTTACCCCATACCAAGGAAAGCATATGGCAGTGATGGCGAACGTTTTAGAGACTGAGTGCCCCAAAACCGCCACCCACCCCCGCTCTGCCTCCCGCCCTGCCTGTTCCACCCCCACACGCCCCCTGCCCCACTACCCGCAAGGCCACGCACCACCTCAATGGCCCACCGCAGCATATCGCCCAGGCAGACCTGCAGTGCCATGGCAGCCATGCCCTCCGCCCACACCCCGCAGCATCTGCATGCTATGGGGCACGAGGGTGGAGTCTTGTCCCTGCTGCCCGGCTATGTCCTTGGCTGCGCTGCTCCATGTGGGCCGTGCCCGGGGGCGACTTTCCTCCAGAGGGGATGCTGGTGAGGGGGAGGCGGGGCTGGGGCGACGGCGTGCATGCCCACAGAGAGGGCTCCGAGTGCCGCCTCTGGCACGCATGCCATAGGTTCTCCACCACTGGCATATGGCATACCACCTAATGGGGGGGGAGGACCCCAATGGACATCTGAATGCTAAACCTACTCCTAGGGATGCATGGAACCTTTCAAAGAGTTAGCATTCATTTCCAAATTGTGATCCCCTTTACCTTTGCCGTTTCTCATCCCGCTTAACACTCTGCACAAGGAAATTAATAGGTTTAACGACATCGTTGTGCTGAATGTTCAGTTTGATACTTTCGACTAAAGTGCTTGTTGCTTGTTGCTCTTCGGAATTGACTGAGGGCTTCTTTTCTGCAGAATCTAGAAGAAGGGGAAAATAAAGCATTTTTAAAAAAAGTCGTGCAACCTAAGAAAACGTTACACAACAAAGACATGGAAAAAAAGAGAAAGACAGAAGTGGCAGAAATGAGAGATCTGAGATGAAGGACAGAAGAAAAAATGGGCAAGGAGGAAAAGAGGAAAAACTAGAAGCAGCTTTGGTAACTGGACGAGTAAAGATGATTTGACATGTAGTACTCAATACCCAGAACTAGATAGATTATGTATGATAATAGTCAAAGGCCTATGCAGCATTTTAAAGCTTTGCACAATACTTGATGAATGTTGCATTCTGCTAGAAGTCAAATCCATGAGGGTGATTTCCATTGCATGTTTACAGCACAGCAAAATAAGGATTTGCTTTCTAGGTGCTGCAGCAGCAACAGCAGCACAGATTTTTATCAAAACATGCACATGGTCAAAAAAAAATTCAATTCAAAGAACTATACAATAAAATCAAAGATGCCTATAGTTTAGTCTTAAGTTTTACAAAATAATGGTAACAGTAAGAAAATCTTATTTATACAGAAAAACTTTCTGTGGAGAACTAAGTTCGTATGGCATCAAATCCTGTTGCATTTATTGAAGTGGGAGCTGTTAGGACTGTACTGGCCAAATTTTGATCAGGATATTTATGATTCTTTCCCTGAGATTTCATCTTAATTCTTAAAAAAAATGTACATTTTTTTTCTTTGAAAAGTTAAAGGTTGAGCTATACAGTGTGGACATCATATCTGGAAAAGTCTAACATTGCAGAACTGAAAATGTTCTCTGCTCATAAAAAAAGTTTTGTCCGTCTACTAATTTATGAGTGTTTTTTAGGACATAAAATTAAACCTAGACATTTTGAATAAAATATCTCTGAAGGAGATGGACAACTAAGAAAATAGGTAGATAGCTAGATAGCTAGATAGCTAGATAGATACCGTATATACTCGAGTATAGGTCGACCCGAATATAAGCCGAGGGACCGATTTTCCCACAAAGAACTGGGAAAAATTGGTGACCCGCTTATAAGCCGAGGGGGCATTTTGGCTGTTCCTCCCTGGCCGTCTCGGCCTCCCTAGCCTTGTCGGTGAGCGCCCGTCAGGGCGCAGCGTCGCCAGGCCTCCCCCCTTCGCGCGAGGTGTCTGGCGTTCCCCCTCGTGCTTGGCTGCGGCGGCCCGGGGTATTCCGTCCCGGCCTTGACACGCAGCGCCGCAGGGAATGGAAGGTAAGGGGGGAGGGCCGTACCTGGAGCATCACAGGCCGGGGCGACGCCGGGAACGAGCTGGGCGGCCGCGGTGGCGGCGGGAACGAGCC